CCACTTGCTAATGCTCTTATTGATATGTATGTGAAATGTGGGGATCTTGCGGAAGCAAAGATGTTGTTTGATGGAATGGATGATAGGACCATGGTGAGTTGGACAACCATGGTAGTGGGGTATGCGAGATTTGGGTATTTGGATGCTGCTAGGAGACTTTTTTATGAGATACCAGAGAAGGATGTTGTCCCTTGGAATGCACTGATAGGTGCTTATGTCCAAGCCAAGAGTGGGAAAGAAGCGTTGTCTTTGTTTCATGAAATGCAAGCCAGGAATGTTAAGCCTGATGAGGTGACCATGGTTAATGTCTTATCTGCTTGTGCGCAGCTTGGAGCACTTGATGTTGGTATTTGGATTCATAATTACATTGAAAAACATAATCTTACTTTGAATGTTGCTCTTGGAACTGCTTTGGTTGACATGTATGCCAAGTGTGGTAACATTACAAAAGCGCTTCGAGTGTTCCATAAGATTCCTAGCAGAAATGCGTTAACTTATACCTCTATAATTGGTGGCTTGGCACTTCATGGGGATGTACAAGATGCTCTATCCATTTTTCTAGAGATGATTGATGTTGGACTAATGCCGGACAAAGTTACCTTTCTAGGGATTTTGTCTGCATGCTGTCATGGAGGTCTGGTGGAACAGGGTCGCCAATTTTTTTCTCAAATGAGCTCCAAATTCAAGATTGTTCCAGAGCTTAAACATTATTCTTGCATGGTGGACCTTCTTGGTAGGGCTGGTCTTCTGGAGGAGGCTATAGAACTTATTGAAGCCATGCCTTTAAAAGCAGATGCTGTGATATGGGGAGCATTGTTTTTTGCCTGTCGAATTCACAAAAATGTCGAGTTGGGAGAGAGAGCCGCTGTCAAACTTCTTGAGTTGGATCCTGGTGATAGTGGAATTTATGTTTTGCTTGCAAACATGTATGTCGAAGCAAATATGTGGCATAAGGCTGGGGAGGTGAGGAAAGTGATGAGGGAGAGAGGAGTGGACAAGACTCCTGGTTGCAGCTCCATTGAGTTGAATGGAAATGTTTATGAGTTCATAGTGAGAGATCAGTCACATTCTCAATCAAATCAGATCCATGCATGTTTGATTCAGTTGACAAAACAAATGAAGCTTGTAGAATCTGTAGCTGGTATATGTCATCTGAGGGATGACTTCCAATTTGGCTGAACTTGGCAACTAAACTTAAGCAAGGTCAGTCATAATGCATTTTATCTTAGTTGCCAGTAGATATTCACCTTTTGAATTTTCATGATGTATTAATATGCCGACCAACCATTTACAATTCTTTCCAGGTTGATTGTATCATCCGTACAACTTTCCTATTATGTTTTCAAATTTCTGTGTTTTTTCATATCCTGGAATCTCAATAAAAGTGTTATAAATTGGTTGTCTCCTAGTTGATGGCTAACTTTCTTAGTCATTAAAGCTGGTTGGCTATCTGTAATTCTGTCTTTCTACAGTGCTTATTTTGGAACATACATAGAAAAATATTATTTGGATATGAAAAAGGTATGGTTCCACTGACCTACTCTCTGTTCAGGTTCCATCCCCATACATCAAGACTTTGTTGTGAACATTTTTTGTGCTCCATGTTAATCGTGATATTATCATAGCATTTGGTTCAGCTAATTTTTTCCTCAGTGATAGCAATTAAATCACATGACAGCAAATCCAGTGCATTGTTGCTTTTCATCATTGGGGGATCAATATGTATCTGTGGGCTTGCTTTATTGTGAAGACAAAATACACTTGTAGCAATAGAGAAAGAAGAAGAAGATGGTGGCTGAATCTTCAATTGCAAAGATGCATACAATCTAGGGGTCTTGTTGCCATGCTTCCCCAGGGGTTTAATTAAAAAGGATCTCAAGACTATTTCCTGAAGGAGTTCAAAGTTAACATTTGTCAAAAAATACTTCACTTGCCTGGTAAAACTATTTGTGAAAGGCAGATGCCATGGTTTGGGACCAGAGTCTGTGCTGTTTGAGTTCAAGCAAACCTTGAGGTGAGAAGGGTACCTTCATGATTGGATCCGGATAAGATTCGAATCGTGATTCCCTTTTCCCATTGAAACATTACTTTGAAACAACATGTGGCAAAAGGCTGGCAAGGTGAGAGATGATGAGGAGATAAGAATTTACTATACTCCTGGTCTGCCAATTCAAGGTAACTGAAAAGTTATGTCGCCTTAGCACTAGGCACAACTTGTGATTTGATGAGACATCTGGAGCTTGTTGAAGATGTATTTGGTTTTTTTCCCTTCTGAGAGATGCCTTTATTATCTCTGAAGCCTCCATCTCAATTTGAATGAGGTTGTCTGCCAGATTTAGTGGTTACTTGACCAATAATTAGTGGGACCCAATTCATGTAACATGGGGACCACATCCAAAGACTCCCCAGAGGACAGAAATATTTGAGGGATTTCAAAATACTCCCACTACAATGAGGCTGTGGTGGAAGATGGAAAGCATTATTTTCTAAGTGCTCACTAGTGGGATCTGACACTTTTGCATAAATCTCAGTTTTCTCCAGAATCAGCTTGAGTATGGAGATTGAATATATCCAGACAAAGTACCAAGGTGTCAAACTATGCTCTTTGGTCCAAGATATTGACACAGGGAGTCAATGTTGTGCCAAAAAGAAGGAGCCCGAGGGAAATAGAATGTCCAAAACAAGTTGAATAAATCTCAGCTATCAAAAAGCCGAGACGATGACTGCTATGCAATGGGAATGGTTCTCTTACAAACTTACTTGATTTATGCATCAACAGATCGAACTGGTATGTAATTCTTTTCCATTTGTTACGGGTTCTTAAAATTAGACATATCTGCATTGTGGATGTAATTGGAGGCTTACAGGGGTATGCCCCCTATGTAATGTGTAATCAGTAATATATAGCTTTCGGCACCTAATAGAATCTCACCTCCTTCCAAAAGCATTATCAATGTAAAATCATTAAAGGAAAATTTCTAATTTGAGTTTTGATTCATGTTAGACATATTGGAATATAAGCATACTAGCCAGTCACTTGTATGAATCTTTTTCCTGTGCACAAATCAGCCACACTAGCTATATTTATTTAAAATCCCTTCAAATACTCAAAGCAAGAATGAAACATTCAAGAAAATATATCTGAGTACACCACGAAACTGGATGTATCATCTTGAAAAAAGTTCTAAATTAGCATTAACATGTTATTGTTTTTGAACATTCTCTTTATTTACCTATCAAAAAATGTTCTCTTTATGAAGTAACTACGATCAATGCTGATGAAAGCATGAATTCAAAGACAAGATCAACCCATAAAGTGATAAAATTTCCCCCACTACAAGATGAGATTAGAATTTTTTTGATTTGTCCCTCTTAATTCTGGGATTTTTTTTCCTTGACTTAGATGAGGGCTTCAATTGCTTTGCACTCGCATTCTGTGAGGAACCCTTAGTTGTTTGATTTGATTTTGGGTTTACACTAGTAGCAGCATCTTTAGTTACTGCACCCTGAGCACCCCTAATTTGAGCTGCTTTCTTATCCTTTCTCTTTGGTCTGTAACTAGACCTTTCCCTCTTTGGCAACCACCTCTCAGGATCTGGTGGAGTGTCCGGGCTTGCTGGGTCGAAACCTTTTGGGTATTTTGGCTTTCTCTTCAGTTATGCTTGCTGTTGAACTGCTCTCAACGTGCTTTGCACCAGAAGTTTTACTCCCACATCAACTGCCTTCAAACTGGATAGTGGTTTCAACTACTACTCATAAGTTTACGCTTTCTCAATGTTCGTATGAGCGGTTGTCTGAATAAGCCCAGCCAAAGCCCCGATGCTTCCACGGTTCTTCACCAGCCCCTCGTATTGTCGTGCAGCCAGCCTCTTCCATGATGATATCAAGCTTATTGTCTTCAGTCATGGCACTAGACCAACACTGGATTGCAGCATCAGCAACATCAATATCTCCAGCACTCTCTTTCAAAGAAACAACGGAGGCAACAGTTGCTGGCTTTTGTTGGATATCAGGAATTTTCAGCAGAGATTCAGCTGCTATTTGAGGATGGCCAGCAGAAGCTGAAACCTGTGCCCTTGCAAGCAGAAAGACCTTAGACTTGTCAGGGAACGGGAACTTATCTGCGAATTGCCCTAATATCTCCTCTGCTTTGTTTGCATTTTTCTCTCTTACACGTACTGCAGCTTGGAGGAGCACGGGCATTACACTATCCGGAAACCATGTTTGGCAGTGCAAAAGCGGGTTCTCGATCCTGTAGTATTTCATTGATTAGATGACTGGTCAAAGAAAACGAGAGACCCACGGGCAGTAAGACATTTGTTATGTCAAATTTCAATCTGAAAAGAAGTTAACAGGAAATTTATGAGAAGAAAAGATATGTCGAATGGAATTTCCTGATCCATCTTATTAGAATGAAGTAGCAACAGCAGACTATTGACGTGAATATTGCTTCTCTTTGCTTACGTGAAAGCTTTAGGTCAAGACCACGAGCTAGCTGGAAGATCTGTGGTCCTTCGCCTTTCTCTATCGGCTTATCGAGTTTTCTTAACCCATTAGCCACATCCTTGGGGCCTTTCAGAGCAATAAGGTTGTTTGTTGCCACTGCAAGAGATGATTCATCTGCCAGGTTTCTCTTGATAACATTAGTATAAAATTCAAAAGCTTCTTGTGTGTTTCCTAGGATCTGGGAACATCGAAAAAGGAAAATGTTATGGATAGTATTCTGATATTCTCGAACATGAACTGATATCATTTGAGGCAAGTTCTCCCTAATTTACATGAAGCATAAAAATTTTAAGTTTCCAGAGAATAGATATCACCTTCTAGCTGATAACTACAGTTTCTCTGCATCATGGTACTTGTTTCTTTCTATCAACGAGCAAGCAGTGTTATATGCGAGTTCAAAACTGCTAGTTGACTTAACTCTGAGAGAATCCAAAGCCCCTTGCACCTCAGTAGCCCTCCCAGCAGAAACCATACTGGCAATTACACTTATTTCTAATGACTCTTATCTTGGACTTCTGGATCTCTTGATAAATATCCACAGAAGCATCCATTTATCTAAACGAAATAAAAATTGTGATTCTAACAGCATCATTGCAGAGTTCTTTTCTTTCCCTTTCAATGATTCCAAAGCTTCGTCCCAACTTATTTTGCTGATATAGCAGTATGCCAATTCAGTAACAACAGAAAAAAAATCCTAGAGCACAGAGCCAACACTTCAAGGAAACCAATGTGTAATACTAATCAACAAGCTAAATCACCTTTGAGCACAATAAGGAAACCAAATGAGAGTAAAATGCAGCAAAATCCTTGCATGCATTTTTAATTCGTTTTTAATCATCTAAACTGAAAGTATCCTTTCATTTGCATGGCATTGCTTGGTTGAGAGGGAAAAAAAGAAATGAAAAATGAGAAAATGATATAAAGAGAAGGTGAATTCTTGATAAAGCTAATGCAGTCATAAAATTTCTCACAGGCTATTCCTTAGAGAATTGTCACTAATAGGATGGGCAGAAATCTCCAATACCTGCTCCCAGGAAATAATGGTGATTAACTTACATGCTAACACTATGTACTTCATCTTCTTCTTCCATTTTTCTTTTAATTCTTTGAAAATAAGACCTAGTGAGGATAGTTGATCTCTCTCAATTGGATTTTTCTTCTCCTCAATTTGATTGACTTAACAGCAGCATACCTACACCAGCAAAATAGAGAGATCCTCTGAAAGTGCTTGTTTACTCTGACGCAAGAGAAGCACATCTTTTCTCAAGTTTGAGAAGATAAAAATAAAATAAAATCCAAAAAACTATCTGTACATACTTTTTGTCCAAATATATATGGTTTATTCCTTATAGTTTGAATTATCCACCATCCTTAACTAGTAAATAGTTTAATTTCGGATAGGACATCATTATAATACCCCAAAAGTTCATTTGTTAAGCTGAATTGCTAGTTCACTGACCCGAGCATGGCGATAGAAGAAATTGGAATCATTGATACTTGGGGAAGAACGTTTAATCAACAAGCCAAATGTACTTTGAAAAAAAGGGAAATCAATCGAATATTTGTTGGAACACTCTTTACTTGCCGATAAAGCTTTGTCGACGATATCATTCTTAATCACGCCACGATCTTACATCTAACAGCGTCCTCATCTCCAGGCACAATCAAAAGTTCATATGTTAAGCTGAATATATATCACCTTTACTTTAAAAGAGTGAATGTGGAGATTACTGTTCATTTATGAGTATATTGTGTTCACATTAAACTGGTTTGAAACTGATTTGATCCTTTAAATCTTACACAATACTCTTTATCCATTTTTTACATACAATACTCTTTCTCCATTTTCTCATGCTATCAACTATCAACCATATCCTATAATTTTATTAGAAGTAATATTTTTTTAAATAATATTTTGTCACACTGTAACTTTTTTTTTTAATTGGTGGAACGGAAATGAAAATATAATCATATAAATTATAATACTACAAGGAAGTTGAATTTACAATTAATCATGGAGTTGAA